CCGCCCGCCGCCATCTTGGGTGCGGGAGGGGCGGAAGTGGCGTCACGTGGGGAGGGGGGGAAGGGGAGGGGCGTCATGGTTATGGGTCACGTGGGGCCCCGTAGAGCCGGGTCTGACCCATAGGGAGGGGGCTCTGCCCCATAGAGCGAGCTCTGCCCCATCGCTCCATCCCCGCCCCATTGCTCCATCCCCATCCCTGCCCCATCGCCCGTCCCCATCTCTCATCCCCATCGCTCCATCCCCATCCCTGCCCCATTGCTCCATCCCCATCCCTGCCCCATCGCCCGTCCCTGCCCCATCGCCCGTCCCCATCCCTGCCCCATCGCTCAATCCCCGCCCCATCGCTCCATCCCCATCCCTGCTCCATCCCCATCCCTGCCCCATCGCCCGTCCCCATCTCTCATCCCCATCGCTCCATCCCCGTCGCTCCATCCCCATCCCTGCCCCATCGCTCCATCCCCATCCCTGCCCCATTGCTCCATCCCCATCCCTGCCCCATGGCTCCATCCCCATCCCTGCCCCATCGCCCGTCCCAATCTCTCATCCCCATCGCTCCATCCCCATCCCTGCCCCATCGCCCGTCCCCATCCCTGCCCCGTCCCCATCCCTGCCCCATTGCTCCATCCCCATCCCTGCCCCATCGCTCCATCCCCATCCCTGCCCCATCGCCCGTCCCCATCCCTGCCCCATCGCCCGTCCCCATCCCTGCCCCGTCCCCATCCCTGCCCCATTGCCCCGTCCCCATCCCTGCCCCATTGCCCCGTCCCCATCCCTGCCCCATTGCTCCATCCCCATCCCTGCCCCATTGCTCCATCCCCATCCCTGCCCCATCGCCCGTCCCCATCCCTGCCCCATCGCTCCATCCCCATCCCTGCCCCGTCCCCATCCCTGCCCCATCGCCCGTCCCCATCCCTGTCCCCGTCCTTTCCTCATCCCTGTCCTCCCGCCACGTCCCCGTCCCCATGCACGTCCCTTTCCCAACCTTATCCCCCATATTCCCCCCATTCCCTCCCCGTCCCCCCCCATTTTCCTCCCTATCCCCAACAAATCCCCCCTGGGGGTCACACGAGGTCACGCTCCTTCCTCCCCCCCCCCTTTCCCTTCCCATTGACTCTTATTATGACAGAAAAGGGAGGGGAGAGGGGGGGGAGGCGTGTCCTCCTGACGTCACCCCGGGGGGCGTGGCCCGGCCGCGGGGGACTCTTACGGCGGCGGGGGCTCCGCTCCGTGCTTAGTCACTGCCCCCCCCGCGCCCCCCCCGCCGCCTCCCGCTGCCGTCGGGGCCGCGCCATGGACGGGTGAGACCCCCGAGACCCCCCCCGGGGCCCCCCCACCCCCCGCTTGGCCCCGCCCCTCCGGACCCCCTCCCCCCGGGGCACAAGCATTGGAACCGCCCCTCCCCCCCCCCCCAACCCGGAGATACCGGAACACCCCCACCCCCCCCAATGCGTCCCTATGGGGGGAGGGGGGGGGCCACGTCACTCGGAGCGTGTTGGATGGGTGCCCCCCCCCCCCCCAACTCCAATGGGGGTCACTGCGATGGTGCCCCCCCCCCCCCCGCCTCATTTTCCCCCTAACCCCATTTTGGGCTGCCCCCCCCCCCCCCTTTCTCTCCCTATAGGTTCAACCCCATTGCCTTAACCCCAACCTGGGGGGGGTCTCTATGATGCTGTGTCCATGTTGTATTCCCCCACCTCCGTTTCCCCTATGGGTGCCCTGGTGTTGATTTGAGGGTGCTCCCCCTTCTATCCTTGGTATTGGGGGGGTCCCTGTGATGCTGTGACCAAGGGGTTGGCCCCCCCACCTCATTTCCCCTATGGGTGCCCTCGTGTTGATATGGGGGTGCCCCTCTTCTAACCTTGATATTGGGGGGTCCGGTCCCTATGATGCTGTGACTCAGTGTCTCCAGATATGGGTGCCCCCCAACCGGGGGGGGAACATGGTGCTTGATATCATTTCCCCTATGTTTGCCCTGGTGTTGATATGGGGGTGCTCCCCCTTCTATCCTTGGTATTGGGTGGGGGCCCTATGATGCTGTGGCCAAATGGTACCCCCAGTGCCTCAGTTTTCCCTATGGATGTTCTGGTGTTGATATGGGGGTGCCCCCCTTCTAACCTTGGTATCGGGGGTGTCCCTGTGATGCTGTGTCCAAATGGTACCCCCAGTGCCTCAGTTTTCCCTATGGATGTTCTGGTGTTGATATGGGGGTGCCCCCCTTCTAACCTTGGTATTGGGTGGTCCACCCCCCATCCCAGTTTCCCCTATGGGTACCCTGGGGTTGATATGGGGGTGCCCCCCTTCTAACCTTGGTATTGGGGGGGTCCCTATGATGCTGTGGCCAAGTGGTCCACCCCCCATCCCAGTTTCCCCTATGGGTTCCCTGGTGTTGATATGGGGGTGCCCCCCTTCTAACCTTGGTATTGGGGGGGGGTCCCTATGATGCTGTGGCCAAGTGGTCCACCCCCCATCCCAGTTTCCCCTATGGGTTCCCTGGGGTTGATATGGGGGTGCCCCCCCTTCTATCCTTGTTATTGGGGGGGTCCCTATGATGCTGGGCCCAAACCACATCATCCCCCCCCCCATTTTCTCTCCCTCCAGGTCCACCCCCCCATCCCCTTAACCCCAAGCCGCGGGGGGGGGGTTCCCCCTGCGATGCTGGGGCCATGTCCTCCCCCCCAGCCCCGGAGTGCGCGGCCGAGGTGACCCCCTCGGCGGGGGGGTCGAGCTCCTTCAGCTACAGCCTGGCCGAGCACCCCACGGCCGCGCTGGCCGTCATGAACCAGCTCCGCCTGGACCGGCACCTGTGCGACGTCACCTTGAGCATCCGTTACCACGGCGACGGCGACGATGCCGCCGCCGCCGCCACCGCCGACATCCCCGCGCACAAAGTGGTCCTGGCCGCATCCAGCCCCGTCTTCAAGGCCATGTTCACGGCCGGCCTCAAAGAGCAAGGCATGGAGGTGGTGCCCATCGAGGGCGTGCACCCCAAGGCCATGGAGCGCTTGGTGGAGTTCGCCTACACGGCCTCGGTGGCCGTGGGTGAGAGCTGCGTCCTGCACCTCATGAACGGCGCCGTCATGTACCAGATGGACCGCGTGGTGCGGGCCTGCGCCGACTTCCTGGCCCGCCAGCTCCACCCCAGCAACGCCATCGGCATCGCCGCCTTCGCCGAGCACATCGGCTGCCCCGACCTGCACCAGCGCGCCCGCGAGTACATCTACATGCACTTCGGGGAGGTATGGGGCGAAGGGGGGGGGGTCTGATCCGATGGGATGGGGGTGAACCAGAGGGATGGGGAGGAACCAGAGAGATGGATCCAACCCAAAGGGGATGGATCTGACCAAGAGGGGATGGATCTGAACCAAAAGGATGGATCTGACCCAAAGGGATGGGGGCAATGAAGGATCTGCCCCAAAGGGATGGATGAGACCCAAAGGGATGGGGCTGAACCAAAGGGGATGGATCCAACCCAGAGGGGATGGATCTGACCCAAAGGGATGGATCCGACCCAAAGGGATGGAGCTGCGAGGGACCTGCCCCAAAGGGATGGGGGCAATGAGGAACCTGCCCCAAGGGATGGAACCTGCCCCAAGGAGTATAAGCGGGTCCAAGGCCCCCCTATGGCTCCCACCCCATTGCCCCCTATCCCATCCCGTTTCCTATCCCATCCTATCACCCCTATCCCATCCCATTGCCCCCAATCCAACCCAACCCTATCACCTCCTCCCCTTTCCCCACCGCAGGTCTCCAAGCAGGAGGAGTTCTTCAACCTCTCCCACTGCCCTTATCCCATCCCATCGCCCCTATCCCATCCCATTGCCTCTATCCCATCCCATTGCCCCCAGTCCAACCCAACCCCATCACCTCCTCCTCCCTTTCCCCCGCAGGTCTCCAAGCAGGAGGAGTTCTTCAACCTCTCCCACTGCCCCTATCCCATCGCCCCTATCCCATCGCCCCCAGTCCAACCCAACCCCATCACCTCTTCCTCCCTTTCCCCCGCAGGTCTCCAAGCAGGAGGAGTTCTTCAACCTCTCCCACTGCCCCTATCCCATCCCATCGTCTCTATCCCATCCCATTGCCCCCCAACCCCATCCCATCACCTCCAACCCAACCCCATCACCTCCTCCTCCCTTTCCCCCGCAGGTCTCCAAGCAGGAGGAGTTCTTCAACCTCTCCCACTGCCCTTATCCCATCCCATCGCCCCTATACCATCGCCCCCAGTCCAACCCAACCCCATCACCTCTTCCTCCCTTTCCCCCGCAGGTCTCCAAGCAGGAGGAGCTCTTTAACCTCTCCCACTGCCCTTATCCCATCCCATTGCCTCTATCCCATCCCATTGCCCCCAGTCCAACCCAACCCCATCACTTCTTCCTCCCTTTCCCCCGCAGGTCTCCAAGCAGGAGGAGTTCTTCAACCTCTCCCATTGCCCCTATCCCATCCCATCGCTCCTATCCCACCCTATCACCCCTATCCCATCCTATTGCCCCCAGTCCAACCCAACCCCATCACCTCTTCCTCCCTTTCCCCCGCAGGTCTCCAAGCAGGAGGAGTTCTTCAACCTCTCCCATCGCCCCTATCCCATCCCATCGCCCCTATCCCATCCCATCACCTCCAACCCAACCCCATCACCTCTTCCTCCCTTTCCCCCGCAGGTCTCCAAGCAGGAGGAGTTCTTCAACCTCTCCCACTGCCCCTATCCCATCCCATCGCCCCTATCCCATCCCATCACCCCTATCCCATCCCATCGCCCTTATCCCATCCCATCGCCCCTATCCCATCCCATCCCATTGCCCCAACCCCATCCCATCACCTCCAACCCAACCCCATCACCTCTTCCTCCCTTTCCCCCGCAGGTCTCCAAGCAGGAGGAGTTCTTCAACCTCTCCCACTGCCCCTATCTCATCCCATCCCATTGCCCCTATCCCATCCCATCACCTCCAACCCAACCCCATCACCTCTTCCTCCCTTTCCCCCGCAGGTCTCCAAGCAGGAGGAGTTCTTCAACCTCTCCCATTGCCCCTATCCCATCCCATTGCCCTTATCCCATCCCATCGCCCCTATCCCATCCCATTGCCCCCAACCCCATCCCATCATCTCCAACCCAACCCCATCACCTCTTCCTCCCTTTCCCCTGCAGGTCTCCAAGCAGGAGGAGTTCTTCAACCTCTCCCACTGCCCCTATCCCATCCCATTGCCCTTATCCCATCCCATCGCCTCTATCCCATCCCATTGCCCCCAGTCCAACCCAACCCCATCACCTCTTCCTCCCTTTCCCCCGCAGGTCTCCAAGCAGGAGGAGTTCTTCAACCTCTCCCATTGCCCCTATCCCATCCCATTGCCCCCAACCCCATCCCATCACCTCCAACCCAACCCCATCACCTCCTCCTCCCTTTCCCCCGCAGGTCTCCAAGCAGGAGGAGTTCTTCAACCTCTCCCACTGCCCCTATCCCATCCCATCGCTCCTATCCCACCCTATTGCCCCTATCCCATCCCATTGCCCCCAGTCCAACCCAACCCCATCACCTCCTCCTCCCTTTCCCCCGCAGGTCTCCAAGCAGGAGGAGTTCTTCAACCTCTCCCACTGCCCCTATCCCATCCCATCGCCCCTATCCCATCCCATTGCCCTCAACCCCATCCCATCACCTCCAACCCCATCCCATCACCTCCAACCCAACCCCATCACCTCTTCCTCCCTTTCCCCCGCAGGTCTCCAAGCAGGAGGAGTTCTTCAACCTCTCCCACTGCCAGCTGGCCACGCTCGTCAGCCGCGACGAGCTCAACGTGCGCTGCGAGTCCGAGGTCTTCCACGCCTGCATCAACTGGGTCAAACACGACTGCGCCAACCGGCGGCCCTACGTGCAGGCCCTGCTGCGCGCCGTGCGCTGCCACTCGCTCACGCCGCACTTCCTGCAGACGCAGCTGCAGCGCTGCGAGATCCTGCGCGCCGACTCGCGCTCCAAGGACTACCTGGCGCAGATCTTCCGCGACCTCACCCTGCACAAGGCGGCCCCCGCCGCGGCGCCGGGCCGCGCGCCCAAGGTCGGCCAGCTCATCTACGCCGCCGGCGGCTACTACCGCCACTCGCTCTGCTTCCTGGAGGCCTTCAACCCCCGCGACGGCTCCTGGCTGCGCCTGGCCGACCTGCAGGTGCCGCGCAGCGGCCTGGGGGGGTGCGTGGTCGGGGGGCTCTTCTACGCGGTGGGCGGGCGGAACAACGCGCCCGACGGCAACACGGACTCGGCGGCCCTCGACTGCTACAACCCGATGACGAACAGCTGGAGCGCCTGCGCGCCCATGAGCGTGCCGCGCAACCGCATCGGCGTGGGCGTCATCGACGGGCTCATCTACGCCGTGGGGGGGTCGCACGGCTGCGTGCATCACAGCAGCGTGGAGAGGTAGGGACGGGGGCGTGGGGATGCGCGATGGGGATGGGGAATGGGGTGGGAATGGGAAGGGGATGGGGTGGGAATGGGATTGGGAATGGGACAGGGATGGGGTGAGAATTGGAAGGGGATGGGGTGGGAACGGGATTGGGGATGGGGTGGGAACGGGATTGGGAATGGGGTGGGAATGGGATTGGGAATAGGAGGGGATGGGGTGGGAATGGGAAGGGGATGGGGTGGGAATGGGATTGGGAATGGGGTGGGAACGGGATTGGGAATGGCAGTGGAATGGGATTGGGAATGGCAATGGAATGGGATTGGGAATGGCAATGGGATAGGGTAGGAATGGGAAGGGAACAGGGTTGGGAATGGGATGGGAACTGGAGTGGGAATGGGATGGGATGGGGTGGAAATGGGGCTGGGGATGGGATGGGAACTGGAGTGGGAATGGAGCTGGAAATGGGGATGGGAATGGGATTGGGAATGGGATTGGGAATGGGATGGGATTGGGAATGGGAATGGGAATGGGAATGGGGGGCCTGCTGTGGGGTATGGGTGTGTGTGTGGGGGGGTTGATGGGGTCTATAGGGCCCCCAGTGTGGGCTGTGGGGCATGGATGTTCATTGGGGTGCCCAGTGTGCCCTATGGGGCACTTATCTTCAACGGGGGTCCCTAATGTAGCCTATGGGGCACAGCTCTGCCTTGGGGAGCACCCATTGTTTCCTATGGGGCCTGCCTCTTTGGGGGGGTCCCCCTCTGTTTTCTATGGGGCCCGGCTCTTTGGGAGGGTCCCCATTGTTTCCTATGGGGCACAGAGCTGGGGGGGGCAATCTGCTCTATGGGGCTCCCAGTGTGCTCTATGGGGCACAGAACTGCAGGGGGGGGTCCCCATTGTTTCTTATGGGTCCCAGTTCTTTGGGGGCCTCCTCATCGTTTCCTATGAGTCCTGGCTCTTCCCTAGGGGTCCCCCTTATGCCCTATGCGGCCTGGCTGTGCCCTAGGGAGCCCCCATTGTTTCCTATGGGTCCCAGCTCTTCCCTAGGGGTCCCCATTGTTTCCTATGGGGCGCCCATTGTTTCCTATGGGTCCTGGCTCTTTGCGCTGTCCCCATTGTTTGCTATGGGCTCCCCATTGTTTCCTATGGGTCCCAGCTCTTCCCTAGGGCTCCCCATTGTTTCCTATGGACTCCCAATTGTTTCCTATGGGTCCCAGATCTTCGCTAGGGCTCCCCGTTGTTTCCTATGGGCCCCCCATTGTTTCCTATGGGCTCCCCATTGTTTCCTATGGGCCCCCCATTGTTTCCTATGGGCTCCCCATTGTTTGCCATGGGCTCCCCGTTGTTTGCCATGGGCTCCCCATTGTTTGCTATGGGCCCCCCCCCTTGTTTGCTATGGCCCCCCCATTGTTTCCCATGCCCCCCCATTGTTTCCCATGCTCCCCCCATTGTTTCCCATGCCCCCCCCATTGTTTCCCATGGGCTCCCCATTGTTTCCCATGGGCCCCCCATTGTTTCCCATGCCCCCCCCATTGTTTCCCATGCCCCCCCCATTGTTTCCCATGCCCCCCCCCATTGTTTCCCATCCCCCCCCATTGTTTCCCATGCCCCCCCCATTGTTTCCCATCCCCCCCCATTGTTTCCCATGGGCTCCCCATTGTTTCCCATGGGCTCCCCATTGTTTCCCATGGACCCCCCCGTTGTTTCCCATCCCCCCCCATTGTTTCCCATGCTCCCCCCATTGTTTCCCATGCCCCCCCCATTGTTTCCTATGGGCTCCCCATTGTTTCCCATGCTCCCCCCATTGTTTCCTATGGGCTCCCCATTGTTTCCCATGCCCCCCCCCATTGTTTCCCATGCCCCCCCCCCATTGTTTCCCATGCCCCCCCCATTGTTTCCCATGCCCCCCCCATTGTTTCCCATGCCCCCCCCATTGTTTCCCATCCCCCCCCATTGTTTCCTATGGGGCTCCCCATTGTTTCCCATGCCCCCCCATTGTTTCCCATGCCCCCCCCATTGTTTCCCATGCCCCCCCCATTGTTTCCCATGGCCCCCCCATTGTTTCCCATGCCCCCCCCATTGTTTCCCATGGGCTCCCCATTGTTTCCCATGGCCCCCCCATTGTTTCCCATGGGCTCCCCATTGTTTCCCATGGGCTCCCTGTTGTTTCCCGTGGGCTCCCCGTTGTTTCCCATGGGCTCCCCGTTGTTTCCTATGGCCCCCCCATTGTTTCCCATGGGCTCCCCATTGTTTCCTATGCCCCCCCCCATTGTTTCCCATGCCCCCCCCATTGTTTCCTATGCTCCCCCCATTGTTTCCCATGGGGCTCCCCATTGTTTCCCATCCCCCCCCATTGTTTCCCATGGGACTCCCCGTTGTTTCCTATGGCCCCCCCATTGTTTCCCATGGCCCCCCCATTGTTTCCCATGCCCCCCCCATTGTTTCCCATGGCCCCCCCATTGTTTCCCATGGCCCCCCCATTGTTTCCTATGCCCCCCCATTGTTTCCCATGCTCCCCCCATTGTTTCCCATGCCCCCCCCCATTGTTTCCCATGGGACCCCCCCGTTGTTTCCCGTGGGTCCCGGCCCCTCGTGCTCTCTCCACGGCCGTGCCCGTCCCGCAGGTACGACCCGGAGCGGGACGCGTGGGAGCGGGTGGCCCCCATGCAGTCGCGGCGCATCGGGGTGGGGGTGGCGGCGCTGCACCGCCTGCTCTACGCCGTGGGGGGGTTCGACGGCAGCAGCCGCCTGCGCTCCGCAGAGCGCTACCACCCCGAGAGCGACACCTGGCGGCCGGTGGCGGCCATGGCCACGATCCGCAGCGGCGCCGGTGAGAGGGGGTCTATGGGGGGGTCTATAGGGGAAAGGGGGATTCTATAGAGGGGTCTATGGGGGGTGCTATAGGGGAAAGGGGGGGGGTCTGGAGGGGTCTATGGGGGGTTCTATAGGGGAAATGGGGGTTATATGGGGGGGTTCTATAGGGGAAATGGGGGTTATATGGGGGGGTCTGTAGGGGAAATGGGGGGGGTCTATAGGGGGATCTATAGGGGAAATGGAGGGTTCTGTGGGGGGGTTCTATAGGGGGAAGGGGGGTTCTATGGGGGGGTCTATAGGGGAAAGGGGGGGTTCTATGGGGGGTCTATAGGGGAAATGGGAGGTTATATGGGGGGGTTCTATAGGGGGAAGGGGGGTTCTATGGGGGGGTTCTATAGGGGAAATGGGAGGTTATATGGGGGGTCCTATAGGGGAAATGGGG